GGAACAATTAAACGGAAGGATCAATATATTTAAAGATGGAGGGGGAGAGGGAGAAGCTTAATAATCGTCGCCTTAAGGACTCGGAAGATTTCATTCTATGTATTATTTGATTTAGTGGCGATGGGTCGAATGAAATTGGCGTACTTCGTAATAGCGCCGAATAAACTTCCTAACTTACGATTCCACTGTAATGAGTGGATCGGTCCGGGTGAAATGGTATTTTTGCGCAGTTAACAGTTTAAAGCACGCTTAACGGATCTTCCGTGGTTTTATTGCACCTCGCCAAACAGGAAACGACATTCGAATATTTAAATGTGTTGCGATTTCAACCGAATTACTTCGTGCATCAATCGATACGGAGGCATCAATTAATAGTAACATTTACTATGACCACTTGGAAAAAAAGTATCTCCGAACATAATTTCCGACAAATTCATTAAAGACCACCAATTCGTTATACTTTTTATTAATTTTTCTTTTCCGAAGGAGAAAATCATTAAGCCTCGCAGGAAAGCCATCGGAAGTAATACACGGTCGCTTAAGTGTTAAGAAAACAAATTTATTACACGATAAACATCCGAATATAGTATTTTATTGCTTCGATCGGGCTCGCAACCGTTCTCGCCGAGCGAAGTAGCGGGTAGGCGAGGCAAAACACACCTGTGCGCGAGAGAGGAATTAGAACGCAAGAAAAACCGAGATATCTTTTCACTCGACCGGAAGGCCGGGCTTCAAAAAATCCGATTGCGGTTACCGGAAGTAAAGGGGATCTCGAGGTGCCCATCAATCTCTTCGCGAGTTCCTTGCACGTCGATCGGTTCGCTGTGGAATCACGCATTTCCGCGAATCCTTTCTTCGGCCTTGCACACATGTCCCAAGAAAACGGACGAGATGAAAAGCAAAAAAACACTTTCTATCCGCATCCCGGGCGTGGACCGGACTGATCTATAAAACGATGACCGCCGGTACTCTGAGTTGTATTACCTTCAATTAAGTCGAGAAAGTTACCCGGTCGTGCCTCGGACGGCGATATTCGCTGGCGAAAAAAAAGAGTGGACCCCAGACGGTCTCTCGTCTGTTTTGGGACCGACGTTTCGTCAGAGCTGTCAGGAATGAAGCTCATCGGCCTTTCTTCCGATCACTTTCTCGGTCCCTGGTTCATTGGCCGAATTAGGGTACCTGGATCTTGCACAATACAGTCCTCCGACAGTGTATTAATCATCTTCTGACGGAACTAGATCATCGAATAATCAGGATTGATTTCTTTATTCCACGAGAAGTTTTCGATTTTCTATTCCAGATTTTCGCTAATTTATTTACAAGGTTTCAGAAATATTAAACATGAATATAGAGCGATTAATTCGCTTCGTGATAACATTATCACTACAGGCGCGTTACACGATACATAAGCCGAGTTACTAGCTCCGGCGGTATTAAGATAGAATGATAGCCCATAAAGTCGAATATCATTATTCGTTTGGAACAGATTAATTTCTTTTTATTGTACGGACAATATACTTTCTCATGAATCGGGAACGACGGCGCCCCACCTTTTACCCGGCTGTCAAACAGCCGCGATCGTACGGTGAAACCAAGCCCAACATAGAAAACTGCCAACGCTAGATGAAAAGTTTCATCTCGACGAAAAGAGAAATCAAATTTCCCTCGAGAAAGGTCGAGGAAGTCGATGGGGAGCGATCCACGGCGTAGAAAGTATCCAAAACAGAAACCTTAAAGCGTTTTCCTTAAATCGGGATAGCAACGCATCGATCGGCCGCGGTTCACAGAAGTTCAAACCAAGACCCGGCAGCGATAAGTCGAACCGAAATGCTATGAAGCTTTCAGGTCACCATGTAGGCACCGGCGGGGATCGAGATCGTGCCCGACTCCGAGAAAGTAAGAGGCTTGGTTCGGTTGATTTTATTTTCGACCGTCAACACACACTCGCCAGCAAAAGGGGAAAAATAAAGCAAACCCGGCGTTGCGCACCACTCTCTCTCTCACCTGCCTCCGATTCACGGATCGTACTTCCCCTTTCCATTACTGCGCCCAAACGATCGCGACCGGACGTTGCCTTGATCCGAATCTCCTTCTCACTTGTTTCGCGATCGTTGCTCTCCATTTCTAACACCTTCCCCCGAGCCTGTCTCTCATTGTTTGTTTCGATTTTGCCCAAAACGGAAGAGAGCTCGACGGTCTTCCGAGTTGCCCACCGATCGAGAAAGAGGAGAAAGGAATCTGTACGTCGGGAAAAAACCAACAACGATCGTTTATTAACTGGTGACTGTAAAACGAGTACAATATTTGCATACGCGGAAGTCTCGTAAACAACCATATCGCCGCGACGCACGGGTCGCAGGTGAGAAAGTTCAGGCGGATTCTTTCGAATCAGAACATCAACGGGACGAAAGTGTATTAGCCCGGTTTACACTACAGTGTTCATGCAGGCCGCGTCATAGTGCCTATTGCCGATTTCCTGAGACGATCAGCCTGAATCAGTTTCTTCTTCCGACTACCGACAACGTGCATTCGTTACGAAAGTAAAATATAAACTATAAAAAAACAATTATAAATATAATTAGAGATCTAACTCCTCGATTCTGATTGGACATCGTGGGAAAGTGGATTTTCCTGCAAAAGTGTCTTTGAAAGATCATTCTCAAGACGCGTTCGATCGGAATCGAAGAAAAAGGATCTCCATAACAATGAAATCATAGCACCATATGTACGAGGTTCTTTTCATCTCTGTTCATGTCTACCCTTTCTTCGTCTTGCTACCGAAATTCACGTCGTCCAAGTTAGTTTTATACTGCTGCTGTTGTTGGCCCGTCGTCTGTGACGGATTGTAACTGCTATACTGATAGCTGTATCCCCGAGGTGTCTGCACGGTCACGTAGTTCTGGTTCTGATAAGATTGATCGTTCTCGTAATTCTGCGTCTGCTTCTCGTTCTGACTTAGAGAGCTGTCGTAATCCTGGGATCCCTGAGGCGACGAGTTCTCGTAATTCTCGTACTCGTTCAAGTCCACCTGATCCTTCACAGGCTTCTCCACTGCGGTGTAGACGCCTGGAATAGGCGGGGGATATTTGATGTTCTTCAAGTGGGTTGTCGGGGCCTGAGCAACTTGGCCAGCGATGTTACCAATATTTAGTTTTCCAAGAATGCTAGGATTCACTACATAAGCCAGTCCAGCCTTGGCAATGACGTTAGGCACCGAAACGTATCTCTGTGAATCCTTATTCTGGTTATACTGTCCTCCATTGTTCTTGCCTCCATCATTCGTAGGGTACTGCGGAGCCTGTTGCAAATTCTGAGCTAGCATCTTCGCCCAGGTTTGACTCATCAGTTCTTCTATCTGTTGAGCCTTGACATAAGGAGCTGGTAGAGGATAATCAGGTCCCACGGGCTGTCCAGCGACACTGACTACTCTGTAGGTCGTTTTTGGTATAGGAATCGGAATATTCTTCAGATGAAGATCGGTCATTTGCTCCAATTGATTCTGCGGACTGCTAGCTTTGTAAGTGCTAGGTTGACTGTCCAGGTCCTTCGAGTTGCTGGAAATGTAATTCCCTCCGTCGATGTATTGGTTGTTGGCAGGTTCTTGCTCTCCGTCGTTGTTTTTGTATTTTTTCTCGCTGCTCGGCTTCTTCTCTTTACTCTTCTCGTTCTCCGACTCAGAATAGAGGTCGCTGGAATAATCTGCGCCCGGTGGTGGCGGTGCGGGTGGCGCGTACATGGGTTGAGCGTAATAATTGGGATAATAGTAAGGGGGTTGGTAATAGTAATTAGGATAAGAGGTGGAGTAAGGCATCGGCGAGTACGAAGGTGGAGCCACTGAATAGGGCGTCGAGTATGAGTTGTACCCGTTATACGCTGAGGTCGGGTACGTGTATGGAAGAGAACCGTAGTAAGAGTAGCCGGATGGAGAGCTGGAAGTTTTTGGATACGGATTGTAATTAGGGTAGTAGGGATCCCTGGGATAGTTCGTGCTGTAACTAGCACTGTAGGAGTCCTTAGCATCGAGTTTTGGCGCGTACAGCTCTGGAGACAATTGCGTGATGACTTCCCTGTCGGCTCCTCTTTTTATCAGCTTCGGATTGTAGGGGTACACTGGATATATGGGGAGGAAAGGCTCGTCGTTCGGGTCGTTGCTTTTGCTGTATCCGTGGACGAGGATCGTGGATGATAAAAGAAACAGCACCTGTAATAATCGAAAGAATACATTTCCAAGCTTTCTTCGACAACTCGTCATAGTTTTTTACTCGGGTATCTTTTAGAATCAGAAATATAGACCAATGTTCGATAACTCTGAATATTATCTTACAAAATAAAAGAGAGGCGTATAACCAAAATAAACGCCACGGTTTAATTATCAGTCACGCGACCACCACATATCGATTAGAAGCTTATCGTACAAAATAAATACCAACCAGGATCGCCATATCTATCAGCAGTCACTCCGCCCTGTCGATAATTACGTGTCTCGGATCTACTGGTCCGTTTCTCCTCGCTGTCTCATTCGTCGCTTCTGTCCACCGTTCACCGTCGATCGGGTAGATCGAACCGACACGCCGTCGCGATGTCTAATGATGTATCAGCCGACATTGAATTTCTCCTTTATACCCGGCCGGCTGAAAAATCGCGGAAACTAGTTTAACATTTCTCTGCTCTTATATGTAGATAGCCGGTCGAGGGCCGGGGCACCGGTTCAGTGAAACCGCCTAGCAAAACGCCTCTCGATCTTGTCGCTCGCGTGCTGCCTAGCTGCGGGAACAAAACTGGTCCGCGAGCGCCGCGGGTGGGACGTAGATCCACCTATAGTCACGTGCCGGTCGGATGTCACGAAAGGGAAACAGAGACGGCTGTCCCGAAACGTGAAAGCTCCTCGGGCACGTATCAGCCTCTGCTCACCTCGGACAGCGAGTAATTATCATCGTGGCCGGCGAAAAATCACGGCGCTGCTGGAGTGTCCGGCTACGGCACGCGATCTCGACAAAAGACAATCGAATCTCTCCCGTTCTCTCCCGCGGAAAAAGCAGCACCGATTTGTTCCGAGCTGCCTGGTCACGGAAGCGGAGAACATCATTCCCGTTCCGCTCGGCGTTCGAGGCGGACGCTCGTCCGACTCGGGTCCACCGAGCCGCTCGCGTCCACCTATGCGATTCGGTGGACTTTCACTCGCGCCCGCATCCGCCGCGAATCTCCGTCTACGGAGCCACGCCTTCGATATCCACGCGATCGATACAGTCCACGCTGATAAATATAATAGAGGACTGGATCCAGAGGCGCTACCATTCGCGCGCGGGCCTTGGACTTGCCTCGTCGAGGCGTAGGTATACTAGCATTCAAAAGTTTCGATTCGCTTTCCGTTGCTTCGGGGAGTAAAGAAGAAACGGGAATGAGAGATAAAAGTAGATCACTGTTTCTTGTGTTTGGTAGATTCTTTCAGAATTCTTTGGAAAAAGATATATTGTTCGTCTTTCTTTTACTTTCTTTTTACCAGACTCGAACGTTATAGAACATTCTTGTTTGAAATTGTTTCGCAATTTCCCAAGTAAACATCATAGAAAAATGAAAATGTTCGATTTTATCGTTAAATCCAAGTTTTCTCGAATAGTGGTGATCCGAAACTTTTGCCCGGTAGTATACGTTAGAAAGTGCTCCTTCGAATGGGAGATGAGCGGTTTTATCGGGAATCCGAAATCGCTCTAATATCCCGCAGATTCTGTTTTCTTGGGAGAGAATTAGCATTCGAGATTGCGGTGTGCGCCGGTTATCTTGGATCGGGAACACACCCAGACGAGTCTTTACAATAATGTACCTGATTCTTGGTTACTTTGATCCCGGTTTTAGCACCTGACGCGTTATTGTTACGCTAATCGCGGTCAATTAAAAATTTCCCTATGTAGATTATGATCTGCAGAACTCTTGATCGCGGTCGCTCGGCAGGATTGTTTTGCGGAACGATTCGGTAGAACGACTCGACAGAATGTACGAAGAGTAAGAGCGGACAGTTTTCCCTGTTTTCGCTCGGGGCACGTCTGCCAGGACGGGCGTGAGAGTGAAGCGCAAGTATGTCGCCGGCAAAACCAGTCGGGAAATAGTGAAACGTGGCTTTTCTATGACGATGCACCGGCTCCGCGACACCGAACTCCTTGCCGAATCGCGATCGGTAGCGTGTTAGAACAGACGAAAAAAATTTGCCAGGCTTTAATCAATGATTTAACCAAAAGTTATAGTGTTAATTCATTAAGATATCTTGTTCGATGTTCTTAAAAGGAATCAATAATTTAATTGTAATTTCATGAATAATAGGAATAATTTATTCGACACGACAGAGTGTCTGAGATCTATTTTCCCCGGTTGCACCGTCGAATGATCCCCGCTACCGGTGCACACGCGTGTTTACTCGTGCATGCGCACGTGCGATTGAAAAGTAGGTCAGACCGGTGTACGAGAACGGCACACGGAATACTGCACCGACGCGACGCATCCGCGGTGCTTTCTTTGTGTGTGGGTGTCGTTCCGATACTCTTTCCTTTTCGATACGGGAATCACCACTCGGATGTTCACTCGTGATTTTCGACTGATTTCTCCGGAAGAATTCTTACTCGTCGCTGGACCTCCCCTCAATCAAACGTTCACTCTTTTCGCACCACTATAAGTCGCATTTTTTCAATCAGCAATCAGCTATCGTTATATTCTACTATATACCGTCCACCGTTCGTTTAATACGATTGTTATAAATAGGAAAGTTAAAAGCCTGCGCCACCTCCAATTTTATTGTTTTTATTCGACAACGTGGGATGTGGATTTTGTAGAGAAGTGAAAGTACCTTTAGTGTAAGTTTTATTGAGAGTTCAGCCAATAGCTTATTGATGAATAGATATTAATGAGTACCAATTATTTTTGTATTCGTTTAGGAAAAGTACCGAATAAAAAGGTATGGCACATGTTCAGAGAAAAACAAATAAATGAGTCGAGACTTATCGAATGGAACTTATGGCTCACAGGTTTTATAGAAATCGTTTGTCACGAAGCAGCATGTTGTGCGAAAAATGCGAATATTCTTTTCATCGTTATTATCTAAGAAAGATTAATGAATACTTTTTACATTATTTTGATTATACTTCCGAATAAAGGATTAAATCATAGTTAACTCCTACAGCAGAATAATCATCGTTATTTTTGAAACACATCGAAAATCCAGTATCCCAAGCCAAAATCTAGCGAGTAGGTACCTGATTTAAAGTAATCCCGACCCAGATCCGAGATAAGGTTCCACCATCGTACGATAATACGCGCTTGCCAGCCGGTTACTCGGCTCTTTTCGTTCCCGTCGCCCAGTGTAAAGTTTTAAATATTTGCGTCCCCAGGAAAGCCTGACGGGTAAACGGCGCCCGGGAGCTCCGTCGGGATCTCCTGTGGCCCCGATGGAGCTCTTCAGTCGCACGGAAACTTCGATACTCGTCCCGGCGCGGAGAGTTCTAGATCAACACGGCACGGGACCGGTGCCGACTACCTTTTCGCGAAGACAGTAAAATTACAGGAGTTTCAGAACTAATTTAACCCAGGAACTTTTAATCCCACCGCTCCGCGGGAGACCCCAGAGCCTCCTAACGCCATTAATAAAGAAGGGAATGCAACAAATTACGCTGCTAAGAAGGCCCGTAATTCAAAGGAGCCGTTTTCCCGGGGCTAAATAAAACGCGGAGCAATTAGGTATCCGTGTAAACGCGCCGGCGGATAGTCGCTTCCGCGGAGCAAGGAAATATCGCGGTATTATACCAGGTGGCGGGCACGGATATTTACCGTTAGTGTCGTAGGAATAAGGGCAACGGAGAAAAAGGAACAGTTCCCTTATGAATCACGTTAAACCGGTCCGCGGACGAGCACAACCAATAACCACGCAGCGTACGCCGGGGTGCGGAGGGACACCGGCCAGTGGATACTTTCCCAAAAAGAACAAAACTTTAGAAAGGAATCCCGCCCGTTTCGCCGGTGCCTGGCCTTGGGGTAAAAGTGATCCTCTTTTTATGTGTTCAGAGCGGTCCTCGCAGCCGTCATTAATGTAACACGTGGGCTACCGCTCCCCTTTTCCTTTTACCCATGGCTAATAACTTTCACGATGAAATCAGCGTTGATACAGAAAAATTGTACCGATCGTGACGGCTTTGACGTGTTCGTCGAAGATAATCTGTGCAACGTGACTCGCTGAATCATTTAGGATGCAATCAAGTGCTCGAGAAGTTTCGTTCGAATTCGAACGAAGAATGGATGAATTTTTTTTCTAATCAACAGCGGGGGAATTTGAGACCTCGCGTTTCTTGATCGAAAGGAGGAAGAATTCGTTCGCGTTTCTGATCCACAGTATCTCGTACGATCCCGTCGATCCTACATAATTAACGACGCGAGCATGGCCGAGTGAAAGCTCTCCGATACGCGATGCGCGCTGCAGTTTCGATGACGCCCGAAACTTCGCGATTCGTTCGAGGAGTGTCAAGAGACGTTCAGTGGTTTATATAAAAAAAGACTCACTTTATTACAAAAGGAATGGTATAAAGCTACGTGACGTACATCACAATGACGATGCATACACAACGGAACTGCGAAGCAAGTAACAGGATTATAAATATAAAAACGATCTCTTAAATATAATAATTATGCTAATAACATTATTATAAATTAAGTACGCTAAATCGAGTGCCACGGATAACTTGTCTAAGAGTGTCTCAGGCGAGCCGGTTGTCGATACACTATCGTACTCCGACGGAGTTGCTGGGAAATGCGTTTCATGTGGGTTCAATATTTCGCACTGGGACTCGAATAGGAAATCGTGTCGTATTTGTTCCCGGTAGAACTCAAACCTTCGTAGCTTTTCGCCGCGGAGTAACCAACGTATCTGGGACTCAAATTCGAGTAGGATCCTTGAGACTCTGCTGGGCTGGAATAAGATGTGGATGGCGCCGAATAACCGGCAGAATAGCTGCTGGAAGAGCCAGAGTAACTCGAGCTAGGACTGGAGTAACTGGATCCTGAGCCAGAATAACTGGCTAAAGGACTGGAGTAACTAGATGCGGGGCCGGAGTAGGTTACCGTAGGACCGGAATAGCCCCCGCTTGAGCCGCCAGTAGCGTAGGTAACGGTTTGGCTTGGATAGCTGGAAGAACCACTGTAAGAAGAGTAGCCGGAACTAGGAGCAGAGTAAGTGACGCTTGGGCTCGAATAGCTGGGGCTGGATCCGGAAGAATATGAAGACGAACCGGAAGAAGAGGGAAGAGAGTAACTGGACCCATCGGAGCCACCAGAGAAACTGACATGGCTGCCCGAGGATGCAGAAGATACCGGCAACGAGTAGCTCGCTGATCCGCCGGAACTAGACAAACTAGATAACCCGTGAGATCCCGAAGCTACCGGGATTGTGTAGCTACTGGACCCACTGCTACCGAGGGAAGAGCCAGAGGAACCTTTACCCAGCGACGATGAATCTATCACTAAGCCTCCGCTGACGGAATGAGACGAGCTTGGAGAGTATTGTACAGAGAGTCCCGAGGATCCTCCTAGCGAGGCTAAAGATGCGGATGGAAGGCTATACGAGGATCCATGCGATGATCCCAGCATTGATTGCAGACTGATGCCTCCTGACGATCCTCCACCGTAGGCTGACAGTCCTTGGGCTCCTGATGCGTAAGATGGGGCTGAGTAGCTAGCTCCTGAGCTACCTGCGGAGGCGCCACCCGCTCCAAAAGTGACTGGTCCATTTTTCGCTGCAGGGGTGAACAAGGCGATTCCTCCACTACCACCACCTCCGGCGGAGTAACTAGTCATGCTGGGTGCCGAGTACGAAGCTTGGGAAAGATGTCCACCTCCTCCTCCTCCTCCCAAAGACAGTCCTTGAAGGCTCAATCCATGGCCAAGACCAGAACCCAAGCTGAGACCTCCGGATGATCCTAAGGAGTATCCCGAAGAACCGTGTCCTAGGGAACCTCCCAAACCTTGTAGACTTTGAACACCTGCAGAGTGGCCTAAAGAATATCCTCCCAGAGATCCTCCAGAGCTGTATCCAGAACTCAAGCTCGACTGAAGTGGCGAATTGTAAGATGATCCTCCTCCGGAGGAATAACCCCCGGAATAATCGCTGACACCTCGCTTGCCTTTCAGTTGCAGCCTGAATTGCCGTTTCTCTCCCCTAGTTTCCCTGCAGGAGACCGTTGAAACGACGAGGACTGTGAGTCCTAGTAATATCTGCAAAAAATTAAACCACGTGAAATTGAAGTGTAAAGTGTTTACACGAGTAAAAATTACAAACATTCAAATTCGAGTTTGGCTGTTTGTAAATATTATTGGTAGAATACTGATTTCACTAAAGAGTGGACTGTTTAAATAATATTCGATTTAATTAGAAACGATCTGCGACACTTACTAACGACCGCATGCTGGCTCAAAATGTGACTATCCCGCTCGCTATTTCTCGTGGTCAAGCGGCAACCGGGTATGCAAGTGAAATTGTGGTTTCTGGTGCCATTGCTATCCAGAAGAGACCTTTTATATACAGATCCCCTCTTATACGGCGAAAGAAAGGTCTAGGTGAAGGTGAGTCTCCCCGCGCTGGTACATAGCTTCACCACCACCTTCGCCGCGCAGCGCGCTCGGTCGGCCGCGAGCGCGACCCGTGGCTGAAATATATCGAAAGATGAGAAGCTCGCAAACGAGAGCTGCCCTGCTGGGTAAAAGTGACCAGGATCGATATTTATCGTGTATTGTTCACCACCGGCTCGCGACGAGGAATTTCCTTTCGGGGAAGTCGGCGCTCTCCCGTGATAGGAAGGGAAGGAGGCGAAGTTTCCTCGTTCAGACAATGTCGATGGGACGTAGATAGGGTAGCTAATTGGATCCGTGTACGCTCGTTCGCGGAACTCTTCATTCATGACGGGGGATCGCAAAATCGAGCGCCAACGTTTCCACGTCAGAGGAGAGATACGTTGAACGATGTTGGACGCGTTTTCTACAGCTGCACTCCGATGCAGGAAGTGCATAATTACCGGGGTTAAATCTCGTGCGAAACTTGGAACGACACGAAATGATACGAAACGTTTGCTATGCTCCGCGTTGAGGAGTTCTTAAAAGCGTACACGTTTCCGTGAAGCGTGTACCAACTTCTATCCAGTGTCGCCCACGTCTTCTCGCGCGCGGTATCGCCGAAGAAAGCGCACCATATCAGAAGACACACGCCGGTCCTCGTTAATTAGTTTTGAAACGCCGTTGCATCCACTTTGCTTATGGCAATTACGTCTTCTTCCTGGAAGATAATTGGACGCCTGCCAGGGCGGCGGGTATCCGTTGCTGTGCAATTCGCCAAATCGTCTGGTAAAAGGCTTATTTTCTTCGAGGAAGGCGACTCGGTTTCTTTTCCCGGAAAAGGAGTCTCGGGCGACCCAGCGAGCGCCAAGCTATTACGAACAATTTCGTTCGGCCTCGTCGTTCCTATTTGTTTTTTAGAACGCGATGCTCGCTCTTTCTTGTTTAATGAATACATTCGGTGCCGCGTCGAACACCGCCTACCAATTACAACGATGCCCGTTCGCGAAATAAAAACTGTTTCGTGTCGGGGGATGTGATTCAATCAGGATTCGCAATTAGTCATAATTCCGAGTGATGTAGGTCGGGTCGAAATCTTGCGCGAGGAATGCAAGGAAATCAATTTGCAGCCGTTTTTTCGATGTCTAATTGCAAAAGAACCTTTATTTCGCCGTTTCTTAAGGTTAGCGGGACGCAAAAACTTGGGGCTGTTACTACTGATTTCTTTTCACCGTGCGAACCACGCCGGCGGTTTTTCTAACTCGAGCTTCATTGATTGCAAAGAATGCCAGCAATTACGTTCGTGAAATTTTATTCAGGGGAATAGGATCTGTCGTCAACGAAAGCAGTAATTTCTTCGCCGTTTATCAATTAAACCCACGATGTGCGTCGATATGAAAGGTGCGCGGAGAAGGTGTGGTGTCCGATCTGGACACGCTCCGCTGTTACAATCCGCTGAAAGTAGTTTCGATCCTGGAAAGTGAAATGCAGGAACAGCCGGCAAAAAGTGACGAAGATTTAGGCGTTCTTGCTATCTTATTTCCACACTGGTATACTCCTGTCACAAACGGGAGAATTAAAAGACAGAGTTGCAGAAAACCCAGACCGTGAGAGGCTCGGCAGAGTTTTGCGTGATACGAAGCGGTGGACGATGCCTTCCATCTGTCGTGTCAACGATCTGAAACGGCTGAAAATACCGATTGATTTCGTTTTACTTTCACTCGTGGGTCGCAGGGAGCCATTGTTCCCAGCCGGCCTTTCAGGTATTCATGGATCAACGAAAGTCCGAATCCACACCGTTCGGCCAGCGAACTATCCTTTTTGCACTTGGGGCCATTCACGCTCAACGCGTTCAACGCGAAACTTTTTGTTAAAAGAACTAGTCGAAAGCAAGAAATATATAGCCAAGAAAATGATGATTGTATAAAATTCAGGGCAACCGTTGCAATGCATAAAGGCTCGTAAACGTTCGTATCAGGAATTGTGATCTGCGATAAATTGCTTACGTTACATAAATTATGAACTTGTTATAGTCTCAGCGAATATAAAAGGAGAAACACGGTCGATTAATTATAAATATTTTTCTTGGTTAAATACGCAGAGAAAGTTATTGCAATTACTTTGGTAGTATTGCAAGTTTGCAGCTTTCAGTATATAGATTATACAAGGATTAAGTTAATTCTATACTGTTAAGAAGCGCAGAATCAATTTTACACTTTTTGCGACAACCAACGGTAAGTATGGGAAACTAACAGCTGACAATTAAACGTTATTCTGGGATACATACATGTAGTTGAGGAAAGTATGACCGCTGTTAGTTTACTAATAACTTAATTGCACAAGATCTCGATGATATACGACGGCGGCATATCGTGCGTCACTTAAAAAAGTAAAAGTAGTAATTACTAACAATTCTGGAACCGGTATTCTTTGTTAAACACTTCCGCAGGGGAATACGCTACGAACCGTTGTCCGGAACAATGGTCGTGAGATTTCGCTCAAAATTAGAAGCGCTCCTGAATGAACCGTATCATTTGCATACGGAACAAGTGAGATCCAAGTATTTACATTCTCCGCGTTCGCGTTAAAAGGCACGCGTTGTCTTATTGAGTAACGATATCGTAAATAACTCCTTAATGTCCAGAAAAAATGCTCGACATACCTTCGTTCCGGCACATTAAGAGTTCATTAGCAAGGGATCTTTAAGAAATTTCAAGAATGCAATTTCAAGGAAGTAATATCGATGTTATCATGTTTTTAACCTTCTAACCCCTCTTCTCACCCATGCTATTTGTAAAAATGTTTTACGATTCATAGATTTTTACAGACATTCATAATTTTCGTAGATATACATAATATACAAAGAAAGACTAAAAAATACATATCTTTATATTGGTTACAATAAATACACAAACTCTATGTTAGTAAGAAATCAAAATTTCAGTCAGAATATCATATGTATACGTAACTAAACACAACGTGCGGGAATAAGCTAATAAACGTGACAAGAAAAGAAGTCGCATGTTAATCAACGGGTTCCGACCGCGGTTACCTGCCAACTGGAAGATAGAGAATCCGAGTTATTTATTTCCGGCTTATCCGTCGATCTAAAACTATGAAATCCCAGTCGAGCTTGCTACGCAGTACATACGGTAAAAGTGCGCGAGTCGCGTTAAAACGAAAACAAGGATGAGATTCGGGTCAGTCGCGGAAAGTGAGTTGACAGCCTGGTTTCCTGCGCGCGTGCGTGTGTCCCTTGTCGTCTTTCTTCGTAACTGTCGTTCGCCTATTCTTCACCTTTTTTTTCACCGCTCGAGGCGCGGCTCTTTTACAGAAAATGGGATATGGTCGCTCCTCTCGTGCAATTATACCAGTTCGACGAGTATCCGCGGGAATCTGGTACGTTTAGCGGTATAATCCTGCAAGCTGGTTCGCCGCTTTACTTTCTTAACTTGGTCGACACGAGGCTTCGGTTCAGTTTTCGTGGTCGCGTTGAGCCATGTCGCGGTGTCATCGACGAACGGATCAGCGAACTGGTCTAACTCCGAACCGAGCCCCTAATCGCACGGACTAATTCGCGATGAAACCGCTGACGGAGCAGCTGCCGTGTTTTCCAGGTTCTTGGGTCTGCCATCGAGGCCGCTGGGTATCGATTGCCCCCACCGACTGTGGGTGTAAGTAATAATAATAAAAACAGAAAGGCGTGACTGTATGCTTTGGTATTTATAATACTTGAGGTATTTTCGTGCTGTCTTCAATTGTTCCAGAGATGTCTAAAATTAACATCTAGACACTTAGAATTTTCCTCTTATTTTTAATAAACTATTAATAACAAAGTAGTCGTGTGGATTATAGTCAATAAATAAATCATAGGACAGAGGGTTAATATAAATAATGCCGGCGCCTTTCCAAAAGTTGTATGTAGGTAGCCCAGTGTGCCTCGAAAAGAACAGTTCGTTGAAACTGGAGCACGTCGATGTTAAACTTGCAAAATTTCCAGCAAACACGGTAGGAACGCCGCCAGAGGTTAGGAAATTCACAAAAAGGTGTAAACCCGCCGAGGATAGCCGTATTATGTATGCTTAGTATTATCCAAGTAATCTGGCCAGGTTAACAGTGGCTAGAATTATCGAACGGCTTTCGAGGTCACGATCGCGTTGTGACAGATCGATCGCACGTCTATTGCCGATTCGGTGAGAGTTTCACGGTTCGCTCGCCGGAAGTGGAGACAGTCGGTTCCTGTGCGATGAACTTTCCATGACGTCGCGACGGTCACGCTCGGCGCGGATTATTGCCTCGAGAAAATGTTCGGCTTTACCCATAACCGGTGAAATGACGTCACAGCTTTATGAAAGTTTCGGTTTATCAATTAATATAGAATCATCATTGTATAAACTATATCAATGTAGAAGCATATAAATTCAAATTCAATTTCATCGTTCTAAAAATATTCTCCGTATCTATACAATATGCCGGTGGGGCCTCTTTGAGACTGAACCATCGGCAGGGTCTCCAAACTAAAAGTGAAAAGTCAAGGGTTAAAAGTGAAATACACCATGTGTAGGTAGTAAAAAAATATTTATTCAAGGTAATAAATAGAACCAGTAGCGTATATACAGAACTGAATAAAATCACATTGACCTACATAAATAAAAATCATCCAAGTGTTAAGTAGTTCACCGTTTATCCCACATCGTACGTTTACGAAAACCATGATTACTCTAATAAACGATTGGAAGCACCATTTACCAATTACGCTAATTTCATAGGAATCCATAAAGAAAAAAATAAAATCAAAGAGTAAAAGAAGGATGATTCGAACAGTACTAAGGATCGGAAATGAAACGCGTCTCCCAGTATCCACAGCCGCGCAAGCGAACGATCGTGCCCGTAATGGGTCGCGCGATTGTTATCGGCAAGATAACGCGAATTTAGAACGATCGGTGCGCAACTGGCATTCCACGCTAATTACACGTCGCCACTTATTAAGCCAGCGTGGCGTCGGTGTGACGTCGGACATCGAGAGCGGCCGAGTCTAGTTCGAAACTGTGTCATCGTGACCGCGACATTGCTCCAGTGGCGCCGATTACTTTCTTCGCTCGGTCTCTCTCTCTTTTCCACGCGGATAAACAGTCAGTCTCGATAAGGGTAGAGTCGGGTTACGGATTTGCTCGGTCGCGAGGGAACTGACTAGCCACGTCACTTCCATATTTGGGCCGGTTTCGCTTGCGTGGCGTAGGTCGGCGCGTAGCTCCACGGGTAAGTCGGGATCGTGGGCTTGTGCAGCTGATACGCCACGTTCGGGTAATAATAGAGCGGGTAGACAGGTTTGACGGGCTTGTACAGGAACGGATTGATCACCGGTGTTTGGACACCATACGTCGGATGAGCTGTCGACGCTGGTTGTACGTGGCCCGTCGTGGCAGGTAACACGGGTTGCAAAGGTGTCACCGGGTGAAGAGGTGTCACCACCGGATGCAGCGGCGTCGCGACGGGGTGCACGGGAAGAGGGAGCGCGTTGAGCGGCGGAGATGAAGGAGCACTTGGCCGGACGGTCGAAGGGATCGACGGGGTCGACGAGGGTGTCGACGACGGCGTGGTCGTTGTGACAGGTTTCTGGTTCGTGGGGATTGGTAGCCCGAAATGCGTGGGCGAGGAGCCAGACGTTTGGACGGATGTAACGGTGCCTGGTGCGAAGAAGCTAGGACCGTAAGTCGGAATGTTCGAAACGAAGTTCGTGCCGGCGATCAGGGTCGGTACGAAGCCAGCGTACACTGGAACACCTGCGCTGGGCGATAGAGCAGTCGCAGGTACGGAGGAACTAACCTGCGTTGTCCCATCACCTTTGGCAGATTGAGGAGGCTGCACGGTGGTCGTTGTTGTCGTTGCGGTGGTCGTTGGGGGCTGAATAGTGGTGGTAACTCCGTAGTTAAGCGGTAGCCCTGGACTGATCGTTGTCCCTGGCAAAAAAGGTGATTGATTGAAAGTGGTACTTCCGGGCACGACCGTTACGGTACTCGGTTGCGCGTTTAAACCATGAATCTTCATTCGCTGTCCGATGGAAGCCAGAAGATCTTGACTCTGAACGAAGCCCGGCTGATTTTGAGCGTACCTTCCTGCTACGTCCGTGTTCTGCACCTGGGACTGGCTGGCGAGCGCGCGTTGTAGCTGCACGATCAACCGATCCTTTTCGAGGGATTGAATCTGTTCCAGGGTTTCCTGGGCACTGAGAGTTCCGGAGGCGTACGACGGCAGGTTGCCAGGGAAATCTAGGGGATTTTGCGAGCTGCTCTCGAGATTTTCGAATTGACCGACCGGCAACGGTAGTTGATTCGTTTGACCCGGAAACGGAGCGTCGTTCGGCGCGAAATCTTGTTCGTTCGGTGGCGCGCCGTATAGCTGTTGTATGGCATGGGCGTTTTGAGTGAGGAAAATGGCCGCGTCCGACAGTTGCGACTGCGGCTGCACGATGTTTTGACTTTGGAAATTGGATAATTGACCTTGCCCGTTGTCCACAGGGTTCTGCGACTGAGCGAACAACTGTGACTGCGTGTAACCGGGCAGTTTCTGATTCTGGGGCGGCAAATAGTTCGCCGTGTGCGATGCGAACGGTTCGTTGTTCTGGCTGGCTATCGGACTAGGCTCAACGAAATCGACTTGTCTAATTGGACTCGGAACTCCTTGCTCCTGCAAACCGCTCGGCCTGCTATCAAAGTTGCTCGAATGCTGTTGACCGAAATGACCGTGGAATTGTAATTTGTCTCGATGCTGTTGACTTTGCGAGCCCGGCCTCGATGGAGACGGATTCTGATAGCCGGGTGGACCGTACTTCGTAACAGGTCTGTTTATTTGGGCAGGATGTCTGTTCACGATGCGTCCTCTGTGCCCGGGCTGTCCGACTTGAAAACGGGATCTCGTGGTCGCTGTGAAACCGCTGGGTCTCCTGTATGAATAACCCGAGTCCCTTTTTCTTTGAACATCCGAGTCTTCGACGTCGATGTCGCTTTTTCCTTCTCCGAGGTCCACCAGCTCCAGCTTCGTAATCTCCGGCTTCTCCCCGGCTTCCTCGATTCCGGCTTCAGCTTTGACGGTTAAGCAGCCCGTAACTAGCAGGCAAGTCACCTAAACAGGAAATAAGATAACGATGACCGCGTTCGCAGTGAGGAAATCATAAAATGTGGTAGCGAGTAGCAATCTACTAGGACACTTCAACACCTGGGGAAAACGTTCCAGCTGATTTAATTACTATTGTTTCGGTTTACCGTGTTTACTCACCAGAAGGAACTTCATGGTAGTTATCCGATATTCGCACTTGTCACTGCACCAACGACACGCTTCCTATGCTAGAATTCTACTGGCCGCGAGATTCTCGGACATTTAACCGGAGCACCGGAGCAGAAAACAACTAATTCGTTCAAGGATGGACAAGCCGACTAAGACCACGGCCATACCTGCACATGTATAAATACAGTCGGGTCGCGACCATCCACGAATTACAATAGACTTTCTTGCTGACTTTCATCGATCACACTTAGGCAATGCTGTTACGGATCGGTGATGTTACACATATCGATGTAGAGTATCGTCCTCTCACAGCTGTTCCAAAATTTCATCGATTTGCATAATATACGATTGACGAAACGCAACGTTGCCCATCGCCTGAGACTTTTCTAACAATTCGTTAGAATTACGAATGTAGCTACTGATGATTTAATCAAGAATCAGATAAATCGATATTTATTGAATCATTGACCTATTAGATTTCAAGAGTGATGATTTTTGCTATGACTATTATCAAACTGTAACCATTTGCGGTGGCAACGAATTCAAGGACTGGCCAGGATGTTGCGCGAAGAATTTTGTCTTCATCTATCATATAATGTACATTAATTTTGTTTATTAATAATTTTGTACACAGTGGTAGATTTCAAAACAATCTGGAATTTGTAATCTAATAAGACTATCGACATGTATAATATGTCGTTGGCAATTTTGAAACAAAAACATTATGATGTGCGTAGCATGTCTTTCCAGCGCAAGTGGTTAATGCGTATATACTTGAATGGGGAGAAAAATTCCGATGTTACGGAAGCCATTGCAATTAATTAGATCTATCCTAAAAAACCTGTTTCCTGTAGAAGTCACTGATTCGTTAGGAAAATCAGATACGTCAGCCTAACTTCCGTCGAGTACCCAAAAGGCATTTCGCGGCTATGGGAAGCTCCTATCATTCCCGTCACGTCCATATCCGCCGAAGCCTCAGTGAAAGTACTTAAAGTCATCAAGTCCCGGAGAATACGGAATAAGTGTTCATTCATAGTGATATATTCGTATTGTGTAATTCGGGATTACGCGTAAATGGCAGGCGGCCGGGCAGGCGCCCGTATTCCATAAAACAATACGAACGGACCGTCTGTTACATGATCGCATTTGGATGCACTCAATCAAGCACGGTTAAGTAACTCGGCCGGCGTTACATTCAAGTAGTTTTTTTTCACGCTTGTGGAAAGTCACGGTTCGTCCTTGAAATTCAACGTGTTCTATTTCTGCCACAATTTAAACGTGGCTGCCTGTGAAGCCTTGACAGATTGCCTGCAGGATCTCGATGGGTCGCCATTTTTATGCATGAACAGTCCCCGAAGCAAATGGAAATGGGAAATGCATACGTAGACGCCACTATCGCGCGTGTTCTGTCTTCCCCTATGATTTCATATAGTCGCCTAAATGGTGGCATATATTAGAACTATGCTGGCAGGTTGTGCTTGATGGCGTCATTCGTTTCTGTTCGCCACTTCGCGACAGGAAGTGGCCGATGCTGCAACGTGCCCGACACTTTCCGCTGTGTTCTCGTATTAAAGATGAAACTGCAGATGCATCGCTAATACGTTCGCTATTATGGAGCTTATGGGATTTGCATGTGTACCAGATACAGATGGAATTTGGAGATATCGGTTGCTAAACACGTGGGTACTACGGCTAACGAATATTCGCCTGGATCACCCGATTGGGTCTTACTTTGAATAATGGTTTACTGCTGGACGATTTATATTAAGTCATCTTTATTAATTATTCATTGTATCTAAGTAGCTATCTAAGTTCATGCGACTGATTTATTTAAAATATTAAGGTATTTATCGCTTATGACTCGTTATTTGACAGGGGGGTATGACACATAATACAAAATTGAAATTAATTAGATTGTATATTTAAGATTGTGATACACAAGAAAACATTTTTACCAGTGGTTACATCGAAAAGTATTTGCATTGGAAATGACATTGATATTATTATAACGGTGGTCAGGAAATTTTGCTCGACTGTAGTGTTTGCGATTATTGTTCTCCAGTTTCGTTTAATTAAGGTGAAGTAGTCCATGCGGATCGGTCGAATTCCTCGCAATTGCCATGATCATTTCCTAAATCTTCATCGCAGTGGTTCCTCGGTATCGGTTCCAGCATCAATCGTTTAGACGTAGTAGTTGTTGTAGTAGTAAGGGTAGCTGCGGTAAGCGTATGGGAGGGCATACGTGTACGGAGAATAGGCGGTGTACGAGATTGGTGCAGTATAGCTCAACAGGACGCCCCTCTTGTCTCTAGGCGTATCTGCAGCAGCGATCGCCGCCACGGGCTCGAGTTTTTCGGCTTCAGCGGGTTTCTCTTCGGCGAAAGCAATGGCGAAGAGAGCGAAAAGGACGATTGCCTAGAAACGAAAAGTAATAGTTCCGTAGATCGATGATTTTCACTGAATCGCAAAAACTTGCCGAGCATCTTATTGCAATTAACCATATAGGAATATTTAGAAACTAAAAAAGTCGATAAAAGATTTAACAAGAAATAGAGAAAAAGCCGATATTTTTCTTCACTATGAGTTCTAAAGATCGAAAGAAATTTTATTTCTATCAGTCAATGTCAAAAATAACATGTTTGAAGTTACAATTATTCCAAGTCACAGAAATGTTTCAAAATCAGTACCCTTACTGATGATGACGAATTATAAACAATGCTTGTCCAATTGTAATATATTTCATATTGAAAGTGTTGCTTAGTCTAGAGATCCAATGTACAATACCACAAGATGCAATTACTCTACGTCAAAGAAGTATACTCGATGTACTTACGGCGAAGCACTTCATGGTTGTTGGGTTTGGTGGAGCTTTCGAGATCAGCTTCTGTGTTCAACTGGAACTGAATGATGCTTCTGCTTTTTGGTGGATACCTTTATATACCTGGCGGACAGATCGTCCTATGCGCGTCATTCGCCGATTGATCAACGTACGAGGATAAAGCAGTCGTCTGTGTGTTCACCGGCCGGCACGTGTGTGCGTGAGCCGGTGGATGTTGCATAGGGTTGTTACACGTCCTATTGTTTACGGAGCCGCATACGTAACCCGTGTACGTGTGCCCGTCGACGTCGTCCGCGGACGACGTCGAGGTCTGCTAAGGAATCTCGTTCACGTATTCCGATACAGACTCGTGTACAACCTCCGATGCACGACACGCGGGTGAAGCAAGGGACCTTGGCAATCGGCCAAATACGGACGAAAGTGTTTTACCACATACGACGTAACACTAGCCGTATCCGTCGCGATACAATTGCGACGAGTTCCATGAACCTTTGATAATAATCAAACGACACCTACTACACATTGCGCTAGGATGCAGAGACTAGCCGCCACGTTTAACGGTAGAAGTACCGAGCAGACAAATCGATCAATTTGTAGCCACTGATACAAATTTCGAGCGTGAGTTTACAGTGATTCCGTTTCGTTTATAATTCAATTTACATATTACTGAATCGACTTATCAGTAATTTTTCAAAGATAGGATACGTACCTTCTGAACATTCATGGAAGAAGAAATCTGAAATGGGCCTCTTTGAGTCATTTTATATTTTTAGCTTTAATTCAAGTCAGCAGGTAATATTATGTCGATAATATTGTTCAAAGTATCGGTCATATAAATTCTGCGAAGAAAAAGTATATATGCTCATTTACGATTACAGGGAAAGCGGATATTTTTCAGCGGGGCCATTTCTGGAACACTGGTCAATAAGGAAGGTTAGTCTGCTTTAAGGAAAACAATAAAATTCAGTACGGAATTTTTTGTTGGTTAATCACTGGGCATACTAGTGGTAAGGAACCTTCTGGAGTGATTGTATTTTTAAATTAGTATTTCCTGCAGCGGGATGAAGTACGAAAGAAAGGCGATATGCAAAAGAGTGACACAATGCCGTATCCAAAAAGGAGAAAGACTTTTAAATCCGGAATAGTTTGATTGGAATTGCTAATTTGAACATGTATTTCGTGCAGCTAGCGAGCACGTTAAAGAATACTTATCGAATGAAACAAAATTTTTGATGGTTTGCATATTACAAATTTAAATTGAAATATTTTCTGCTAGATCCGTTTTTTACCACTTACTATAAAATCTAAGTCTGTATTACTGAAAAAAAACTGTATAAGATACTGCCGTAACGCTGATTTTAATAATTTATTATTTCAGAAAGACGAGTCGATTTTTACTGTTGCCTGTTAATATGCACATTTGAGAGAACTGATAGGACATTAAATTATTTTCAATGCAAAATAGCAATGAAAGAACACAAAAAATATTATCAATTATTCTTGTGTTCGTGAAACTCAAGGATTCATACCATGTGACGATAGATTTAGTGTTTCCACATTGTCTCGGTGCGAAACGCAAATGTCAAACGTTTCTTACGTTTGAAGGGCGCGCCCTTGCTGCTTTGAATTTCAATTTCGAGGGGAAAACCCGGCCAATGCCTAATGCTCTCTTTGGCGCATGCGCGTCACCAGTTCTAGACGGCTTGCCCAACTGACCGCTTGCATACCGATCTCCTCGTTCCTTTTTTTCAATTCCTGTGGATTTTCAGTGGAGGATTCTTTGTTGAATGTTTTATTTCGTTTATTTTCGACACTGAAGAACGAAGGAACATCGAGAATCCAAATCGACAAAAAATTCTCGTTTTTGTTACGAATCTTGGGCTCTGTCATCAGACGGCTTCGTTTGCATATGCTAATGGGTAACTATAAAAAATTTTGAAAACCCGAAATGATTTCTAATGTCATCTGACTCCAAATTGGATTCGAAATTCTTTATTTTTCGCTTATAAATGATGATTCATCGTTGTTAATAACCGGTGTTGATAGACAAAAACTTTCGGCGTGAAAAAAGCCAAGTTGCACACATCGATGTGCGAACATGGAGAGTGTTCCCTGAATTATTGGTTGAAATTTTAATAAAGAACTGTATGTTTTATTTATCACTTAATTGTCAGATGTATCTTTAGGTCCAATTAGGTAAAACATCCGGGATATAACGTTTGTCTATTCGAGCGGTAAAAATTATCAGTCGTTCATTATCGGGTTAACCGGTTCTATAACGGCCATTTTTTAAAATAAAGCATCACCAAGACGTGCACTAATTTATGTACTTAAATAATTTAATGAGTCACACTCTGTGTATCAAAAAAATACGAGTCCATCACGGACCAGTTCGGTTCCAACGCCAAAAAGAAATGGGAACGCGGCATCTTTTTGCCTAATTAATAATCCCGATGCAATTTATTCGTCTCAGCGGCTTCGCTTTCAAATCCTTCCTTGGCACGTAACGTCGACACCCTTAAATATTTTCTTATGAATTTTAATGTGGCGAAGTTGGGCCGCTGTTAATGGAACTGCAACGCTTGGAACATTGAACGTTATACAGTTTCACAATTACTATATTTCTAGATAGTATTTGATTGTCATTCATGTATGATTTTATTTTCAATACAAATGAATTTGATATGAACTCTAACTTCATGCAAGTCTTTATAGTGTTTAAAATCATAATGGTTCTCTGCTTAGGAAAGTTCAACAGATTTTATGTATTACCTTTATTATATCTTATAAAGTATTTTAGAGATACATCAAATTATTTTCTGGGATCTAACCGAAATTAAGCTAAATATACCTTAAAACTGGATGATACGTTTTGTTGCAAAAATTATTTGCTTCAGTATTTCATTAATTTCAATTATAATCGGAGAAAACTGAAGAGTACTTTTATTGTACAATAATGTAATATTAATATTTTAAGTGAATGTACCTAAGGAAATGCAAGCTTAACAATAACGTTCAGATTTTGGGTATTAAACATTAATGGCAGATTAATTTATTAAATTAATTTATTCATTAATTTACATTTGATACATATAAGTTTCACATTTCATCTTCTTCATCAAAGTTCCATTCGCAATCTGTTAAAATAAAATATAAAATTACTACTTAAAAATGTTTTATTAAAAAAAAATTTAAACAAATCGAATTTCAGATAGAGCTAATAAATTTGAAATCATGGTAATCAGAACAGTTAATGGGTCATCATTGCAATAGTACAATACTCGTATTTTTTAAACAATGTTATTTACCTTCATTCAAAATTTTATGTAATCACCAGACAATTTTTTGCTTCGATGTTGTTCCTTTATCTACAAATACGTAATCGTTTATAATTTATTGAATAAAAAATACACATTTTTAGAGACTATTGATTTGTCTCAGAGGTAGTGACGAATATAGTATATATATATATCATTGAATGTCAAATAAATATAACATGCATCATTGACATTAAAAGCAACAAAAGTATGTGAAGAATAGTACTTAATTAATGCTTACAGCTATATTTAAGAAGTATATGCGTGTGAACTCCAAGAGTAATATCATAGTCAGGCCATTCATATGCTGAAAACGAGAAAGACATGAACTTATTGTATTTAGTGACAACATGTTTTACAATGGTATATGAAGACGTAGTCAGATAGGAGCGAAAGACATTGCAAATATTCTTCAGTTGAAATCAGTTGAACTATGAACTCATCATAAAAAATCAGCCATTCTTAATTACATTATAATTTAATATAAAATATCTGGGAACTTACTCATAATGTTGATCCGTTCATATCAGTGTTTAGCTACAATTCAATTTACAGTGCTACCTGAAATATAAGAAGTGAATGTGTGAAAGTTTGTTGTCACTGATAATACAATTAATAGTATAACATAACGATATCAGATAGGGGCGAAAGTTTGTAATTTTTCAGTCTAAATCAATTGAACTATGAACTCATCACAAAAAAATATTTACACTAATTCTAATGAAATTAAAATGTGTACTTACATAAATTCAATCTCCATTGATTTTCACATTAAATGAAAATGGTGTTCTATGACATAAAAATACATGTTATATAATTTTTTATTCATGTACAAGCTAAAATTATTATTATTACTCTAGAAAATTATCAGATAGGGGCGAAAGTTTGCAATTTTTCAGTCTAAATCAATTGAACTATGAACTCATCACAAAAACATATTTACACTAACTAATTTGAATGAAATTAAAATGTATACTTACATAAATTCAATCTCCATTGATTTTCAGTTTTAAATGCAACTGGATATTCTAAAACATAAAATACATGTTTATATAATTTTTTATTTATGTGCAAAATAAAATTAATATTATTATTATAGAAAATTATCAGATAGGAGCGAAAGACATTGCAAGTATTCTTCAGTTTAAATCAGTTGAACTATGAACTCATCATAAAAAATCAAACCATTTTTAATTACATTATAATTTAATATAAAATATCTGGGAACTTACTCATAATGTTGATCCGTTCATATCAGTGTTTAGCTACAATTCAATTTACAGTGTTACCTGAAATATAAGAAGTGAATGTGTGAAAGTTTGTTGTCACTGATGATACAATTAATATTATAACATAACAATATCAGATAGGGGCGAAAGTTTGTAACTTTTCAGTCTAAATCAATTGAACTATGAACTCATCATATATTTTGCAACCACAAAATAATTATTTATTTAATATTGTAAACATACCATTACATACAAATTATCAAGGTTTCTCAAATTCTCCCTGAACAAAAATTCTAGCCACGTCAATATTTTCTTTTAAATTCACAGTACGTCTTTGCACATAGTCACATGTTAAAGTTTTGAAGCCAGCAGACTCAAATAGATTTATTATTTCCTCTGTGGTAAAATAGTAACTTCTGAAAAATAAAAATGAGTCTTTGTTAGCATGTAATTCGAGACAAAAAATTCGGAAGACCTTAACAAAATGGAGAAAAAAACTGCACCTCGTGCCATCTTGTCTCATGTAAAAATTTTCACCAATTTTGTGACCAGGCTTGAATCTCAATTGAGCCATATCGTATCTACCATAATCTCTCAACAGCACAACTCCTTTATTATCAAGAATTTTATACATATTCTCAACAACTCTAGAAGGAAAAGACAAAAAGGTAAGAACTTCCGTAAGTTTCCAGTGGTAAAAAAGAAAAATGGCCGACTCCGCGTGGTCTTCTACCTTCGAAACTTCTCCGGATGAATAGCCGACAAAACGAATATTAAGGTCGCTACATTTACAGGAAGATCCACATCCGCGAAACAATCTTCCGTTGTAATATCAGTCTGAAAAACCTTCATCTTCCCTGGATCATACAGTGTGTGCGCCTGAAAAAAGTATCATTATGTTCAACCACGTGCTTGGCTGAAAAGATTCCAAGAAATATAATAATTACAATACATAGAAATATAATAATTACCTTCATTAAATCCACAGCTCTGGGAGAAAAATCACAAGCGAATATTTGTTTAAATTTCAATCCATCTTCAAGCAACGGATACACGAAATTCCCAACGCCACAGCCGACCTCAAGAAGCACCTTGGGATCTCCCTGCTCTTCCAGACCCAACAAATCACTAAATTCTCTAGTGGTCCAATGTCTATCTTTGAAGAATCTCGTGTCGTTTCGCTTGTAAAATAGGTCCCAATGTTTTCTAGCGTCTTTCTCCAGCTGATTAGCACGGAACTCGGAAACCAACCGCGTGTTCTGAGTGTGCATTTTCTCAATTTCCTCTTGAGTGAGACGCTTCGCCACGTGGCCAACGTACTCGTTACCGGACTCCATTGATTCAGCCATTCTCGCGTAACCCGTAGTAATAATCCCGGGAATTACGAAGCCACTTGTACGCCCCACGAATACCCCCGAAATTACAAGCGTGCTTTATGGTAATTGAACAGAACATTTACGCGAGAATGGAATATAACGAAACGACCATCGGAATTGCGAACTACGCAGAGAACCTCCCACCTTAGCGTCCCAAAAGGAAATGAACGAGGAGGACATGCGTGGCGCGGCTGCAGCCCCACTACGTCCGGCCCGATGGGGGAATTACCCAGGCTAGTAACATCAGGGCTGCCATTGTTAGAAAACTGTCTGGGAAAATATGAATCGGTCTATGCGTTGCCTCACGTATTGTAACGGGGCACAATGGAATTAATTGTAAGAGAACTGTAGCGAAGCGAAATTTGTTGCATAATATATTATTATGTGGGATCATTGTTTTCGCGCAATACTCACGTTACAGCGTGTTACGATACAGATCGTCGTAGCGTGCATCGTACTATACGAAACAAATCTAGTTACATTTAAAAACAAATTTAATTTCGGAATTTGTAGTCGCAAAGAGTGGAATATTGAAGGGCGTTAACCTTGGAATAGTGTCAACCTTATTTGTGTACTATCTATTAATTAACATTACTTTTTATCGGCAATGTCAAGTCACTCCTCAGCGGCATTGGACGTCATTGGTATGAATTCCACGCGCGGACTTATTCGACAGATTAATATGCGGTCCCCGTTCAGAATGAATATTTTCTGGCTGCGTACAGCATTGTCACACAATGACACAGTGCTGAAAGGGGTTACTCGTGACTGAAATTTAGTCGATGGGTATTCTGTTTCGTTCGAGACTCTTAATTAAATTAATATCCTTCGATGTGCGAAGGGAATTGCGCAAACACGTGCTTGTTTAATGATAATTTGCTACGGTGATTGTATGTAATTGTAAATGTTACATATATGCTCGAACTCTTCAAACATATCGTCAACTCCTACAAGAAAGTGACATTAAGAAGTAAACACATAATCATCGTGACGTTAGACACCACTGAATTGGTCCCTTGTCACGTGTCCTCTATCGCCGCACCGTGCATGCCCACTCGAATATTTACCGGCCGATGTACGGCCATCTGAAAACTTGCGAACAGAACGAGGCCAAAGGAAAATTAATCGATCAAGTAGTATGTAGGTCATCGCGGACCACAATTTCGTCGAGAGCTTGACGGAAGCCGGCGACGATAGATTAACCGAATGAAATGAAAAACACGTTTCACGGGTCGTGGTCGTTAGTGTTTCTTCGGGTAATGCGTTTCGCGGCCGTCCATCGCCGCCCCCGGAATTTTTGCGATCAAAAAATAATTGATCGCTTTTCCCTGGACGCGTGTCGCAACCGTGCGGGGTCGTTAACGGATCGCGAAAGTTCTGCGCCGAGCAGTAAAGGCAAGCGAATCAAACGGAGAATTGTTTCAGTATAAAGGGGATCAGGTAGATTAAAGGAAAATCCAGCTACTCGCGCAGGCTCGCATTACGTTGGTCGGCTAAGCTTTTCCGATTTACATAATTTCGAGTTCTTCCTACGGTTCTCATTAAGCGCCCTCGCGGGCAAGCTCTTTCTTTTCTACGCCGGTGAAATTGATTGCAAGGATGAGTTTCCAGAAATCCTATGCCGAAGTCCACGCCTTATTTGCCCGGGAAAAGAAGATGGCGTCGGTATATCTTCGCATGAATGGAACGCGCAATAAGAAATTCCGCCTGGCGTAGGTCAGCCGTACTCTTATGCAAATTAAAATTAATTTTTTTTCCGTCGACCTGGTAAAACCTTCTTACCGCAGATTTAGAGCATTTATTACGTGTGTTCATATTCCACCGTAACCGGAACAAATGTTTCCCAGGCCATATTTTACATTAGCGCGGAAGCTAAGAAATACTTCCGAGTTTATCATTTCTCTCGCTCCCGCTCGCCCGGAAAATACTGCCACCGTTGAATTACATCGACTTATAATAATTCTGTTATAGTGGAGGCTTCCATTTACATTTACCGGTAACAGCGTGATTAATTTAGGATGTATATATGCAAGCGGTATACGTATTTGCGAAAGGAATTTGTGTGTATTAGAGAAGTGATGGGTATAGATTATGGACGCGCACCGGGGAGAATTTTGTTGCGTCGGAGACAAATGAAGATAGATATCGAGGTTCCAGTTTTAAAAATGGTATACTACGAGAATAGGATGTTTTCCAAAGACGTATTAAACAATTGAAAATCATAGAATGAAACATTCTGCAAAAGAGAAAGATGAAGGAAAAATGAAAATATATTGCGATAAAGAAAATGCTTTGATTTAATAATACTTAACAGCGACGAAGAAAAAGTTAACGTACATCGTTTAATATTAAAAACTAATGGATGAAAATGTACTACAATTCACCGATCATTCTATCGATCACAAAGAGCTTTTCAAAGAGATCAACGAAAAATAAGCTTGTTTTGATTGACAAAAACAAGTTATGGTGTAGTTTATATTAACGAATAACATGATGAAAAATAAAATGCTAGAATTTATCGGTACGCGTAGGTACAGAACGAGGAGCTTTCGATAGATATAATCGACCAGAAATAAAGCGTAATTAGACAGGCTGGAATTTTTTAATGTATTAACGTGCAGAGAGCTCATCAGGAGGCGAAGAGCGGCGCGGAGCGATAGAGACGAGCTCGTAATTGTAGGCGCGGCGAAGATGCTTCGACCGTGCCTTTTCCATTTGCCGAGGCGGCCAGCGTCGAAGCATCTTATACCGTTCGTCCTCGTGGGCATTCCAAGCGGGAATTCTCGAAAGCCAGTTGTGCCGTAGAAACACGCGTCGCCGCTTGCCGCTCGCTGCGACTTTCGAGTGCTCGTAAAACCCGCCGTTTTCTTGGCTTTGTACCGCTTTCGAGTGCACCGAATTTTCTTTCCAGCGGACCACCGGCGAACACCGAAGTGCCGTAGCTACTTGACCCCGACGCCCCCAGGTTCCTACGGTCAAATTCCGGTGAGTAGCAACAACTTGTCGAGTACCTGTTACCGTCAACCCCGGGGTCGTCTCTTTACGAGCGGTTCGTTAATGGAACAAAAAAAGCGTTCATTTACCTGACGGAATTGCTTGCACCTTTACGCCCACAACTGCATTTATCGACGACGTCGCTTCAAAAACCGTTCGAATGCATCGAACGTTTCCGTTCGAACATTCCTGGTGCTAGTTGTTTTAGGAAACGCGGAGTGATCAATAACCGAGGTGATAATACACGGTCGACTGTCGTTTCAATTAAGCTTAAATGATCGTTGGTCTACCGCCCGATACAATTTTAACGAGCCCGACACAGAAAATCCGCGATCAATGTCGAACGTATGGTCTTCGAGACTGCAATGAACTGACAAGATAATTATACGCGAAGTAGAGCATGGATTAACAAGACGAGTCGCGCGTAACGCCTGAAAAAAGATTACAAGCTGGAACATGAATAGTAACGATCGTCTCGAAACCCGGCGGTTTCCAGCTCCTATCAGGATCACAGGCAATGCGCTCGTAATTATGCGCCGCTTTCGAAAACTGACAGCAACAATGGATTCCGGTTTTTCATGGTTAACGTCGACGATCATCCGTGATTTCGGTAGGTTCAACCGTATCGACGCATACCGGCGGTCGTCGCGACAAGAGAGCAGGGCGTCGATCGATCGTTCCCAGCGAACAGTTTTGTTCCGTTGACACGGTTCGCCAGCAGCGATAATCGACGGTTTCGAAGCGGAAGCGACGATCCTCGTTTAACAGCTAATCGAAACAAAGGAGTCATTCGTGCGATACGAGAAATACTTTCGCGGAATCTTGCGGAATCCCAGGCCCCGAACCATCAAACCTCGCGTCGAAGCCTAAATACGGTCTGCCGTGTGTCAACATTTTCCAATAACACCGGAAACGCCCGCGGATTCGATCGGCAACAGGAGAAACTACAATGGCGCTTAATTCCGTCCGCGGCTCGCATTCCTGGACGAGCGTGTCGTTCTCAGCGGTTTCAGCCAGCGGCGGGAAAAGTGCTCGGCCGAAACTTTCTAGGCTCCTATCGCAGCCCGTAGCCGGCAACCCGTGAACGAAACTGGTTGCCCACGGGGTGCTAACTGGTCGAATCGGATTTGCAAGCACGTTTGCGTAATCCGCACAAAATCGGCACGTATATCGGATCGCGCCCGGTTGCGCAACCGTTAAATCTAATCCAATCCATTCTCGTCGCACGCTTTTACGCGTAACACGCAGAAATACGGTCCCGCCGTATTACTCAATCTCTCGAAACGACCGAAAGCTACTTTCGGGATTCGCGAATGTTTGCGATCGCTCTCGCGCGTTAGCTTCGAGGCGACAGGTGTCCACGGTGCTTGCATCATCGCGGAGAGACGCCCAGAGTCGTTGTCGCGAATGTTATGCAAGCAATAATCGCGCGGTATTCGAGGATCGGCAATGTTTATCTTTTCTACACGGTCACTCGCGGTCAGCCGCGAGTACCGTTGCACGTTCGCCTGGTCTTCGAGGCAAGTCTAGAGAACGAACGCCGCGTCGATTTATCGCGGTGCACCGCGATCCGAGACTCCGGGCCCTCCACGGCTAATAATTCTTACGATTATAGAGAAAAGAGCTCCGCTGTTGGCCAGCGAACCCCGTTAAATCGCCGTGTCGGCCTTCCTGGTTCTCTTTCAGCGATCCCGACCACGGCCTCGGTTAATTCTCTAGCGGGATCGCTGCGCCCACGTAAAAATAGCGGGAACCGTGCCGCGATGTGTATAAATTACGGGGCGGTTTCTGCCATTGGAAACACATTTGCATGTTCTGAACGATGGCGGACACCAGTTAGGTCGCGTCGGACATTTGGCGGTCAACAATCTACATTCGGATTCTAAACTCTGCACCGAAGGAATGTTTGCCGATAAATTCCGTTGATGTACAGAGTCCGGTGCACAATAATGTTTTGTTAGCATTTCGTTTGTTACCATTAATATACAGGTATATCTTTTTTTTATGAAAACTGATGATCGGATAAATCGAGCGGGACGCTAACTGCGAATCTCGCCGATGCTCATTCTGGGTCCAGAACCCTGACCTACTAGCAGAGTGTTACGTAACCCATTTGACCTCGTATTTCCCCAGCTTCGGTATGCTCGGTTGCATCAATGGAATGCGCGAGTTAGCTAATAGTTATATGTATATAAGTATATAGATATATGCAGCAATAATATATTGCGTGCGAGGGTTGTGTGACCGAGCGCAAACGTCATTGGACTTTTGACATTTACGCGTTAGTGGCGTGTGGAGATTTGTACGCCACAGGAATATTTTTATTTTTCCTTGGCCGATAAGAACGCTTGAATCAGGAAATGAAAATTGTCCCTTATTTCGAGTTTTACAGAACAACCTATAAAAATTGAGAATTTGCATAAGAGTCCCGGTGTTTAATCGCCGCCTATCTGCCGTACGTGCACTTGCCAGATACCTACGGATTTACATTACATTTCATGTAGAGCGCGCCATATATTTTCTTGAATATTGTACTTGATATCGATATATTTTCCGGTCAGTCTAGTAAAACGAGGAGCTCCGTACATATTACATTTAATTACTAACCGACTGCGATTTCTATTAGCTGCGCGGATCTCATTAAATCCCCGGTTCCGATTCACCGTCGCTCGGTAAATGTAAACGCGCCCTAAGAGTTATGCTGGCCACATTTCTGTCGGACCGACGCGCGGAGCCCCGCAATGTCCTAATCCGGCGGAGGAATTGTCCCACAAGATTCGGGAACGCAAGGAACCAACCGGGTCTGTTCTAATCGATACTTTCACGTTCCTAGCGGAATTAGCGCGGCCCTATAAACTCCCGCAATTCGATAACGTGACCGCGAAACGTGACTCGCGGCCGTGCATACCGTGCGCGGGAAAGGAGGCCCCGGAAACCCATCCTCGACTGTGATACGGAAGGCACTTAAAACTAATGCTGGTGTAATTGGTCAGACTCGAAGATGCATCTCTATTCACATGCATTTTAGACAGTAACAGACTGTTTATCAATGCAATCACATGGTAATTAACGCTTTGCTCTCGAAAGGCGAATATCAGTCGCCACTTGATTTGATACAGCAGAATTAATTAACTTATTTTCAATATTGTAAAAATAATAATGCATTGCCATGTGAAATATTGAAATAAAACAGTATTGTTTCTTAATTTATATGTGAATTGTTCGTAAATTTCAGTTTCAAAAAATATTTTCTATATCGTATCAGAAACTGTTGAACGTTTCTAGTGGTAAACTTTCGAGTGTAAAGGGTTGGCACAATGAATGCCAGATTTTCGTATATTCTGTCCAAGCCGCTGACATTCTCAGCAAGCAAAGTGTACGTAGTAGGAAAAATTGTATAATATCAAATTGTTTAACACTTTGATCACCGCGTCACTTGAATGAGGCTGACGTAACTATTCATATGAACGTAAAAATTAATTCTCTCGGTGATATATCGAACAAAAGAGAGTAGTCACTGTGAAGATTTTGACTTTTCCATTTTTGTTTCGTTGGATAATTGTTTCGATTGTAATATATTATAATTTCATGAGTGCCAATTCATCAGTATTAATTCAGTTATGTTATTCTGCACGCCTGCTTTGCTGAATGTGATCGCTTTAGGTTATATCATTCATAATATAAAAATAACTAAAGGAAGATACCAATGACCTTCACGGTAACCGGAATGTCCAGTGTCAGCTATGGATAACTCCTAACGGCATTTATCACGTTAATTAATATCGTACACAAAACACACATCGAAAGCTGTGGGTAGCAACTTTCCTTCAGCATACGATACATATGATCCGCTTTACTGCTAACTCATTCCTGCCGGTGCATGCTTTACTGATGCCACAGCGACGCGATTAATAGAGAAAACATAGTAACTTATTATCATGGCGTTGTAATTGTGACCGCTGTCCGCACGAAGGGGCGGAGTCTGTAAGTCTCCGCAGGAAGTACTCCGCGAATTATAATTTCCGTCGCGTTAGCTCATACCTCATATTATCGACCGCCTGGCTGGGAACGATTTAGCATTCGTATTAAGCTCTATTTTGACTTTTAGTTTCGACTCTTTCCTGTTAGTTTGAAATACTATGTGCTAAAACCCGTATTAAGATCGTAATTTCAACCGGACCTTGACTTGCAAATGACGAGGGGGATTCACAGAACGCTTAATAGTCCTGAATGCGTTAACATTTTATCAACTCGTAAAGTTGTTTCAGATTAATCCCACATCGGACGAAGCTTCGATAAAGTGGTATTATTAGGCAATAATTTGTTCCTTTTTTCACGAGAAAGTGAACTTTCTAAGAGTAAACATAGACATTCAACGTTCAGAAATTTCTCTGTGCTAATGAAGTACACGGGAACGAACCTTGTATTTCCCAGAATAGATTCATCAAATTGTACAGAACTTCTGAAAAATGTAGTTGCATAGAATACGCTCTCGTTTGGCTAATTTACCAAACCAGTTTCGATAGGAACTCCGTTCTACGCCATTAACTAAATTCCCTTCCACTAAGCGGCCGTAGAAACGTCTATAAAATCTGAAATCTTCCCACTAATAAACGGGAATGGAAAAATGACATGTGTCTTCCTGTTTATATGTTCTAACCATTAACACGCTCGCCGGACACCGCGCCGGTATATTTATTCGCGCGCAGGTGAACGCTACCGAGGGAAAGTCTTTTACGGTTTTACGGAGCGAACCAGTTCGCAAATAAATGTCAAAGCGGTTCGGCTTTTACTCCGTCTTGGTCGATCGGAATCGCAAGGCAGGGATGTATCAATATTAATGATATCCATGTCATTTTGTTCGTTATGGATAATTTCTCGAGTGTTCAGAGGTACCTTGCTGTGCGAATGTTATAAGGAAAATACAGATCGCTATTGTGGAGACACGATTGAATACGATGAAATATAATTAAGAATAGTCTTAAACTATT